ATAAGTTTAACTTGTTTCTAAATAGTAATAGTTTATATACTTATATAATGTACAATAATTGAAATGTGACTGTATTTTACAAAATACTAGTCTACCAGTCAAGGCAGGTCACTATGTAAATACTAAAGGTCAGTCTTATATTATTGGATATAGTAACAGTGCACACGTGCCATGTCCTTGTAAATTCTGTATTGTTAGCCAGGCATGGCTGAAAGGTCAATATAATTGAAATAATAACTATATATAAACGTATGATGTTATAAGATTTGAGCTATATAATTTAAACATTTATGTTTTCATGTTATAATTTGTTGTCATTCTAGAATGAAAGAGGCATAATTTATATTTATTTCCTAATTTTTTATGGTGGTTACAAGATTGGTCAAATCTACTGAACCCATACAGAGATTTGTTAGTGAAAATAACATAGAATATAAAGTTTTTCTTAAGAAATGTTGGATAAGTATCTGGACATTATAATGATTTTGTATGTGAAATTTGAAAATTTTCTAATGCATAAAAGTATTTTTAATCTTGAAATGAAAATTACTTTGCATGTTGAATAGGCAGCATGCAAAAAGAAAAAAAAGCATGAGAAAAACATTGCTTAACAAACCTTAAGACTTAATAAAAAAATTATATTTTCCATATGAAAGTATTGTAATGTTTATAAATAACCTGCCAAATTTCCTTAACATACGCTAAGTAATTTAAAAACTATAACACACATAGAATGGTTACGAGGTTGGTCCCAGGGACTGAACCCATGCTGAAAGAGTTAAATCAGGCTCATTTGCGGGCTCTTTCATGAGCTTTTCACAACCAGTGGAATTTTGCAGGGATATTTTGTCAGCTTTTACTATCTTTCCTCCTGCCCTTGTCGTCAATCAGTGTTGTTGGTTAGATATGACTCGCGTGTCAGCGGGTGTCCTGCTTCCTCCTCTTCCTCCAGTTATTCACATTTCGTGGATGCATTTCTTCAGTGATGGGGGCATGAGTTGATCAGCTGGAAGATTCAAGGTTTTTGGTCTGTGGCTGTGAGGTCTCATGCTATCAGCATCCTGGAGCTTCTCACTGAAGGTCATATTTTGGTTCATTTTCTCCATTTGGACAGAAATCGTCAGGTAATGATCCATTCCAACTTTTCTTCAGTGATTGCTTATCTCAATCACTAGGGCAGCACCTGTTCTTCATCCCTCTATATTCATACATTGGATTTTCTTGTTGGGCCCACACGCTCAATATTCCTATCATTGCGTGTCATGTTCCAGGTGCTTTCACTCTTGTTGTGGATCAGATTCCTGTCCAGACAAAATTTATCCAATGGAGTGGTCTCTCGATTGTTTTGTTTTCCAGTGGCTTTGATTTCAATGGGGTACTCTCACACTGAGGCTTTTGCTACATCTCTTAACTACAAATTGTCTTGGTTTTGGTCTTCAGTTTCTTGTTTTCTTGCTCTGGCTGTCAGTGTTTCCAACCAGGATTGTCTATTCTTCCAATCTCCTTCTTTTCTGTTTAATTTTGTTCATCCTTGACACTCCATGTTCAGTCCTTCTGATAGCTCTTTCCTGGCCATCTTAGCTGTGGTTTCCATGGCTTCTCCAGCTCCAACTTCCACCTATGTTACCTTTTCCTCTGTCTCCATCTCTTCTTTGCCACCCTCAGTCACCGTTGCTTAATCCAGACCTTTCTGTCCTCCGTCTTCACGCCTGGTTCTCCTCTGGTCATTGGCGAAGTGATTTGGCTTCTCCCAATGGTTAGTCTCTTTTCTAGCTTGTTTCATTTGCCCTTCCTCAACACAAATGGATTTAGCTGCTATCCCTTCCTTCTGTTTCACACCTTTATCCTTGATCTGGATAGACTTCTATGTGCTGTACATGCTCTTCTCTGTTATATTACCTGCATGGCTTCCTACTGTGGTGTCTGTTCCCTCTCATTTCTTCCTTGGCAGCCATCTTCTGTTCGTGCTCTTTCTCCTTCTCCAGTTGGGTTCAGCTTTTCATTTGATTGGCTTCTTCCTCTTTATCATCTTCCTCCCGTACTTTCTTTTAAGTTTCTTCTCACCCACTTCGACACCTTACCTTTTCATTGGCATTTCATCTTCTTTGTCTTTTGGAGGTTCTTCTTCAATCGGGCATGTGGATTACTCATGATATGTTAATTTCTCATTATTTGATCAGATTGTGGTTTTCTTCCTCTTCAGGTTATCATCTTCCGGCTATAGCCATTCTAGAATTTCAGAGATTTTGACTGAATAAGTTATTTTTTTCTTATTTTTCGTTTTCAAGGGCTCTTTTCCTTTTTATTAATGCTCATTGTTTGGATCCTACTCTGTGGCATGTGGTACCTGACTAGGTATTCTTTAACTGTTCAAATCTGCACTGTCAAGCCATGCCAACTTGCATATTATAATTCCATGGCCACACACTGCAGAGATGGGGTGTTTCACAAAATCATTTGGAGGATTATCCTTACAACAGAATTGCTTCATAAGTTTGCTTGTCCTGGACCATACCAACCTATGGACTACATGGGTAAAGCTGCCCATCCCTGCCATGCCTTGTATTGAATAAATTGGTATGATCTGCTTTTAAAAATATGGTTTTGTGGTCACCCATTGCACTGTCTCAGGTGTTGTCATTCCTCCGTCCACCATGTTTTACCCCCTTTTCTTCTTGTGGAGTTTGAGAGTCCTTACCACTTTCCAGTTGCAAGCTGCTGGTGTGGTGGACTGTGGAGGCATCCTCCTGTATGGGTTAATGAAATACAAACAAGATATAGAAATGACTATAAAACCATTCAGTTGAGAGTAGGACAGTGGTGTTCTGCTGGTGTAGATGACATGATATTCTCAAATATGAAACATAAAAACAAATGGGAGTGAGCCATGAAAACTGTTGTTCACCCCTTCGATTGGGAACCCTCATCCTACCCCCATGCGGATGCTGGTTCCCAGTGGCTGGATTTTGGATTTACAATGAAACCAGTCAATATAAAACCTCACACATGTATTACAGATGTCTTTATTTTTCCATCATTTATACTTCATCAGTGTTGTGGGTCACGGTGGAAGTAATTGCGGATTGTTACAGTTCTTTCCCTTCTGCTATCTCTCGATGTTTCTTATTCTGAGGATGTTTGAGGTGGTTCTGGTAAACTTCACTGTTGAGGGAGATGTTTTACATTATATTTACATTTAATACCAGATGTCGGGTTCCCGGATTGATCTATCAATATATCATATTCACATGTGCCCCATTCATGAATTGGGGATTGGAGAGTACTAGATTCCCTCCTGTCTCATAAACTTGAGGTGAAGATGGTATAATCCTCTGTCCAACCCACAGCAGATGGCTGGATTTTAGTTTGTAGTTGAATTACCAATGGTATGATCCTCATTCTACCCCCGTATGAATGTTGGTTCTTAGCGGCATGGGTTTTAGATGTAGTTGACATGACGTGTATGGTCCATCACGCCCTAGCCATTGTACACCTAGGGGCACATCCTTTTCATTTTACCCACTTTTATATAATTTCTGAGATTGAGTTTCATAAATATTGCATGGTTCGAATCACTTTCCAGCCATAGTTCTCTCCCAGTTGGATGTGCTCCTCTGTTTTCTGCCCATATATGTGACATCTTTATATGATGTACGAAGAGTATACATGGTTCAGAAGTGGTGCGGTTCCCCACATCAGATCTTAGAATCAGACTTTCTAATCTTAGGGAGTGTCATCTGGATGTTTCTTTCTTTCCGTCATACCAGTCCCTCCATCTATTCAATGTGGGATTCTAGCTATTTATGTGAAAGGAGGTAATGTACCATATCAGATATTATAATTTTTCTACACTGAAAATGTATTTCACTCTTCTAATCCTTCCTCTCCACTGAAAACTGGCACTTCCATCTTTTGCCAAAACTCGAAGTGATAGTTTGGTAGAATTGAACAGAGGGAGTCACATGCATCATGAGAGTATGTTGCACTCTTATTGGTGGAAGGTTGACTCATGATGATTTGCATAAGAGACACATTGGAATCAATCATTTCCAATGGATGGGAGACAGAAGGCTTATGGCATGCGCAAAATTTTTTAATCATATAGAGGGCAGCACTGAACAAGAATAGCTATTTATATGAGAAGAGGTAAGTACCTATTGAAAATACATTTTCAGTGTAGGAAAGTTATAACATTTCTATAAACATTGAATTTCAAAGATCTAAGTTATCCTTTTTGTCTCAGCTGTTAAAATACAATTGTCACAACCAATACAGAGCTGTGGAGGACATTAATCTGGAGGATTTTCATCTTTGTTGTCCTAGGATGATCCTTCTTCTTCTTCCGTTTAGTCAACTTTGCAGATTGGTTTTTTTTTTTAGGCATCTTGCTCATGTAGCCTGGCCAACCCAATTTAACTTCAGTCTCTTCAATGCAGGTGTTAGATGTTTGTACTTTTATATCTTTGCTGTTGTTTCTGCTTTTACATATCTATTAGTCCTGTTTGTGGTGTAGGGGATCTTTAGTAATTTCCAAAAACATTTGTTTACAAAGATTCAAGTTACCTTTTCTGTCTTGGCTGATTAAATACAAGTATCACATCCATATAGTGTTGCAGAGATGAAAGTTGTCTTGAGGAGTTTTACCTTTGTTGTCCTGCACTTTTGTCTCTCATCTTACTGAGGTTGGAGAGAACTGCAGTTGCTATGGCAGTGCTTATTTTAACTTTTGTGATTATTTTGAATCTTCTGTGATGGCTGCTCCAAGAAAACATAAGTACAGTGCTTTAAAAAATGGCAAGTTTGGATACTATTAATGTTTCTCACTGGAATACGGTTTTTATTAATAAATTGTTTGTTCTTTTCAAAAAAACCTCTCAGGTTCAGATTCGCAGTTTGAAAATACTATTTTTATATCAGTGTTTTTAATGTAATAAACTGTGGAGACTATATGTATTTGTCTACTTTAGTGTTGTTATTCACTATTAATCTTTATATTTCAGACCAGAGAGGACACTGTACAGTATGATGCTTTACAACATGATGAGGTTATTTCACAGTTCAGTGATAATAATGGTGATGATCTAAATAGTGTAAAAGATGATGTTATGGGCGTGAAAAAGGAAAATGAATTTCAAGAAGATTTCCAACAAATTGAATCTGGGTTAGAAGATACACCTGGTAATTATGAATTCTTCAAAATAATATAATTAGTAATACGAACATATTAAAAAATGTATAATTTAAATGAAGACTGCATGTTGTTCAGAGTTGGAGAGTGCTGCTTGATGTGGAGGATTTCTTTGATCAATAATTCCAGGTCAGTGGTAGACTTGCAGAGGATAGAGAAATTTGATAGTATAGGTTGATATCCTATTTCTTCACTGTGATGGCATATAGAGGAAACACAGGGGTTATTCAATTTTTTTGCATTTTAATGGAAATTCCCATATGTTCAATTTACAATTTATTATGGCACAAATAGTAGTCAGACATGGTTCAAAGGGCAATAAAAGAGTAAAATTTAATTATAAATAGATGTATATTGTTAAAACTTTAAAACTACTTAGGATAAACAAATGTAGTTTCACACTACATTTGAAGTCATTCTAGAAAGAAAAAGAGGGTAATTTAGATTTATTTTTTGGGGGTTATGAGGTCAATCAAATTGACCAATCTTGTATAGAGTTAGGGTAGAGAAAATAACAGATAAAATATAAAGTTCTTCTGAAAACAAACATTTGAAATTGTATTTATGAGGTTTTAGAAATTACATAAATGAAATTTGAGATTTTTGAGATGAAGAAAAGTATTTTTATTCTTAACATGAAAATCACTTTACACTTAAACTATTCAAAACAAATACTTGATATATTCAAGGACAAATCTTTTTTTTCAGTTTTAGTTTATTAAAAATACTTACAATAAAAAATAAGTATTTTTTGTATGTGAAAGACTTTTAATGTTTACTAAAAGACTGCCAAATTTCATAAAGATATACACACTATATTAAAAGCTAGTAGTATCAAATCTATAAAGACTTTGAACGAGTACAAAGAGGTGACATGGCTGGTCAAATTGACCGGGCCAGTGTTGAGAAAGTTAACAGAGAATATTCCATTTAGTTAAATCTTAGTAATAATTTAGAATATTTATTGGACTTTCTCTGCTGACACAAAATTAATTCTAAGATATAAACATCTGTGTTTGATATAGTTTCTGATACTTCTGTGATGATTGCTAATACTAGTGAGAAACAGTGTAGGTATCTTAAGGAACAGATACTGCTGCATCTTGTCTCTTAGTTTTCTGGAGTTTCATTATCCATATATAAGTTAGCCTAGTCCACCTCTTCCATTTTTGATAATACTTGCTTACATATACCTACTTCACTCTGTGACATCTGTATAACCAGTCAAAAGCTCAGAATGTCCTCACATGGTTTTCTCAGCCTTGGTGAAGTGCTTACATGAGAAAACCTTCCTTTTCGTGGTAGAATCAAAGCGGAAAAGTGGGAGATAGTGGAGCTTGAAGTATATATCATTTTGGACCCAAATACAGCTTAGTTACTAAGCCTGATAAATTATAATGGAATTCTGTGGTATTGATATAGTAATTTATGATTTTTTGTTATTTTAAAATGCATACATAAAATCCAAAAAAATTGTTTTACATCCTCCATGTGCGAAATTTGACGAGGCAAGTTATGGCAAGCGAGTACAAAGTTTGTAAGTGGAAGAAATCATTGTTTTCTATACTTCTTTATTTACTGTTCTATGTTTTAAGAAAAATAACTAAAATTTAAGAACTTACTTGTTACTAGTAATGATATATATATACATATGTATAATGTATTATAACCAAAATGTGACTGTATTTTACAAAATACTGGTCCACTAGAACAAAACCAAGACAGGTCACTTTTTAAAGGCCATTTTATACCATTGGATACTTTAACATGAGTGCATGTGCATCACATCACTGCAACTTTTGTAATGTTAGTCAGACACAGCTAAAAGGTCAATAAAATAATATATATATATGTATATATGTAATGTTATGAGATTCAAACTATTTAAAATAAATATTTGTGTTTTCATGTTATAATTTATAGTTATTCTAGAACAAAAAAGTGTAATTTACAACTATTTCCTAATACAGAGATACAATATTGAAAATAACAGATAAAATAAAGTTTTTCTAAAAAGTTTGATAACTGTCTGAAGGTTATAAAGATTTTGCATGTGAAATGTGACAATGTTCTGATGTATAAAAGGATTTTTAATCTTAAAATCAAAATTACTTTGCATGTTGTATAGTTAACATTCAAAAAGAAAAAATGCAAGAAGAAATCATTACTTAAAACATTTTAAAACTTAATAAAATATTTTGTGTACAAAAGCCTTGTAGTGTTTACTAATTATCTGCAAAATTTTCTGAAGATATGCTTACTGTACTAAAAGTTATGGTATGAAAACTATAACAAGCAAAAAATGGTTATGAGGTTGGTCCCTGGGACCAAGCCCGGAGTAAGAGAGTTAACAGCTTTCTTAAGATACCCTTTATATCCATCATTAAGTTGTTTCCCCTATATTGATTCTCATTTCTCCTCAACCCACATTTCAACTAATGCAATAATGTTAAAACTATAAATATGGTACCAAAAATTCACCATTTTTGTTATATAGTCCTACCACATTCCAAAGAAAGTTATTTTCTCATTTTATCTCTGTTTAAAGTTTGCACTCCCTTGTTTCTGGTGCTGATATTTCACTCTGCGTGTCTTTTCCTAGTTTCTTTGAAGGCTTCAATCATTTTTTTTAGTTTCTATTCATTGGTAGATGGCCAATACTATTCCTTACATCTTTTGATTTGTCCTCTTGCATCAAGCTCTCAACCTTTCCCTCTTCGATGAGTTTTTCTTCTCCTCTACTCCATTTCCCATCTATGCACAATTTCTGAAATCCCAACTTTGTTTTACTTCCTTTTCCTCTCGCATGTTTGGCCATCTGAAGTAACATCGCTTGGATTTTCCTTGTTTTCAGTGCATAATCTTCATCTAAATATATGGTTGTCCCTTTCAGCTTTCACTTAACATCAGTAACTTTTCCTTTTCTCTCCATTCACTAAACTTAACTATGATTGGTCTGTTTCTTCCTTGTGTTTTCTTTTGTATTCTGTACACTTGCTCAAAATTGTTTATTTTAATCTTCATCTTTTCTTTCTTTACTAATTGTTTACATTACTCCCAAGATTCTTGGTCCAGTTCTTTAAGTACCTTAACCACCATATTATTATGTCTTGAATGATTCTCATGTTCTTCAACTTTACTTTTTAGGCATATGATTTCCTTGGTCATACTTACGACGTTTTCCTCTAAGTCTGTTATCTTCTTTTACCGATGTTCTTTCCACTCTTCAATTTTCTTCAGCTTCTTATGTATTAGTTTAATTTCCTGCATTAGCATTCTGAACATTTCTTTCACCTCCATCTCTTCAGGCTCATTTTCTTGATTATCCTTCTTTCTTTTCATTTGCGGAGAACACAGTTTTTCTTGAGGTTTCAGCCAGATCCTTCCCTTTGTTGTATGTGAAGAAAGTTAATTTGGAGAAGCAACTTCTTCCCTCTCTTCCTTTGGCCACTGCACAGTGATTGGATTGCATAACTCCTCTTCACACCCCACTTCAAAACAAGTGAAATGGAGAGGTGTCAATGCTAGTCTTTTCTTGTAACTAACTCAAAATGGACTTTAGTGATCAGTGAAATTTTTTATGTGGTGGCTGCCATTAAACTCTCTCAGCACCCATCTTGTCGAAATGTAGTTGTTGTTAAAAATTTTGAAGGAGAAACACATGAACTTAGTAAGTTTATACTTTCTTCATATGTTAGTGTAAGAATTGAGGTTTGAAAGGTTTTAGTTGTTCCAGTCTTTCATATACATACTTTCTGTAAGTCAAATATTCTATTTTAATAGAAAATAATAAAAAGCCAATTTTAAACGAAGCATTAAAATGCCTCACAGAGTATTTTACACTGGATAATTTTGTTTGAAATGATGATTTGTTGAAGTAAAACAGTTCTGATATTCATAGTCCAGTATAAGCACATGTAAATTCCCATTAGTTTTAGTTTAAATTCCTAATTTCTGTAAAACAGTTATATTACTATTACCAACACAAAAATTTGCACGTTCATTTTTATTTGCTAGCACATGCATTACAACAGACACGTACAATGTTCATTGTGTCACATATATTACTAGAATAATATTTATATTTTGGATCTGGCATTATCATTCTAATGGTTTAAAAAAGAAGCTTAATTTATTTTGAATATTGCAAACTAACTTCAGTATTTATTTTTATTCTCTGTAACAATGAGTAGAATACTAAGTGACACTCCTTCAGGTTGTGCTGCCATGTGCTATCCCCCTCATGTCCAGATTGGCTATCTCAGAGGAGGTAGAATAGAATGCCAGTAATAATGTCACCTGTGTTCTTCTGGCTGTGTATGGTTCTTGTATTATTGATTTTTTTATCTTTTGCTTTTCCTAGTTACACCATACAGTACTCTGTTTTTCAACAGATGCTTCAGTGCATGCTGATTTGAACTTAATAATGCAGAGGTGGTCAGTATGCTGCTGGTGGAGATGTGCTGGACTTGATAAATTAACTTCTCATGCATGCTTATCAATGTTACCACTGCATGGCCCTGCACATACATCCTGCACATTGATTGTCTTACAACACAGTTTCTTTGCTCTCTGCCATCCAACAAGGGAATAACCAAAACATTTCATGTGAGTCAGTTACAGGTATTGTATTGATGGTATTGTCTACTTGCAGTTTGTTGCTTTCAAAAGTCCATAGGAAGTTTGCTTTATAGCTTCCAGCTCCATTCTTGTGCTGCTTGTAAAAAACCTTGAATGCTCGACCAACCTAATGTAGAATTTTGTTGCTCTTGTCCACCATAGTCTTCAGATAGGTGCTGACAGATTTATCAGCTTCACCCTCAGACTAATCTTTACACTTTCTGTATGTGCTGATTTACACATATCCTAGAGAATTCTGGTGTTTATTCCTCCTGGGAACATCTCAGAGCTGGTAATGATGAATTATCTCAGTGGTGTCTATGTAACACCTGTCCACCCATGTCTGTCTACTGAAGCGTGTTTTAGTAAATCCTTTGCTTGGCTGGTTTGTGTGGAGTTGTTGCAGAGATAGAATGTTCCAATTGAAAAGAACAGTAGCTCATTGATAGAAAGTATAATCAATGCCCTAGTGAGGAATACTGCTTGCTAACACTGTTGTAAAACTTTTTTGTGTTTCAGTGTTCTGGTGAAGCTGATTAAACTGTTGTTTGTTGCTGTTGTGTATGTAAGAGAAATGCTTGACATTAAGAGTAGCAGGTTGATATTTTTTTCTGTGTACAGCAAATTTTTTTTCTGTGACATATTGTCCTGGTGAAGCTAACTACATTGTTTGTTGTTGGTAATATTAGAGAAATACTTGACATTAAGAATATTTGTTCTAAATATTTATTCTTTGATCCATTCTTCTGATAAAGCTAACTGTATTGTTTGTTTTTAAGAATGTTAGAAAAATTCTTGACATTAAGAACAGTGTGTTGTAAATCTTTGTTCTGTGATCTGGTCTTGTGATGAAGCTAATTATACTGTTGTTTGTTATTGATCTTGTTAGGGAAATGGCTTTAACCTTTGAAATCTAACCACAAATTGCATGTTTCATATTTGTCTAGAAGTAGGTTTTTCAGAAAATTACATTTTATGTGGTACTTATAGTGATTGTGTTTTCTCATCATATGATCAAAGCTTCCTTCACTAACAAATGTATACATTTGATTATCCAAACCAATAATTATCCACTTGTATAATCTAAATCTTTAGCTTGTTGATCATTAATATCTCATAGATTTTTCTGAAATGGATTTGTATTTGGTAAACACATTTAAACTGGAGGCCACATTCTCACCATTAGTACTTACTAGATCCATTATACTTTTAAGTCTGTTGCAAATTCACGTAATGTTGAGCATGTATTTTTTCAGTTTATTATGAATTGGGGTAATATAATCTGCTTTGTCCTCCACCATCATGTGAAATTAATATGTATAGCAGCTACACAAATTATTCTTTACTTTAAAATCACTAGCTACATCAAATTTAACTTACACATATCTCTCCTTTTTTTCTAACCGTCAATGACACTTAGTGAGCACAGGGGTTATCACTGAATCATTCTTCACACTGTTGATAGCAGTCATTAGCAATACAGTTGTTGTATCTGTATCAAATTGAAAGTAACTTAGAAACAGTACAGTTGTAGTTTGTATGAATTTAAGTGAGAAACAGTACAGTTGTATGTGTATCACAGCGAGGGAAAAACACAATATGGTTGCACACCTATCATAATGAGTGAGATACAATACAGGTTTAGTATCTGTATCATAGTGAAATGAGAAATAATTCAGTTTTATTGTCAGTATCACAGTGAAGAGAAACTGTACAGTTATAGATTCTGTATCACAGTGAGTGAGAAACAATGAAATTGTAGTATCCATATTACAGATAGTGAGAAAGGATACAGTTGTAGTATCTTTATTACAGTGAAGAAAAACAATGAAACTGTGGTATCAGTATTACAGTTAGTGAGAAAATATATAGTTGTAGTATCTGTATTACAGTTAGTGAGAAAGGATACAGTTGTAGTATCTTTATCACAGTAAGAAGAAACAATGAAATTATAGTATCAGAATTACAGCTAGTGAGAAAGGATACAGTTGTAGTATCTTTATCACAGTGAAGAAAAACAATGAAACTGTGGTATCAGTATTACAGTTAGTGAGAAAATATATAGTTGTAGTATCTGTATTACAGTTAGTGAGAAAGGATACAGTTGTAGTATCTGTATTACAGTTAGTGAGAAAGGATACAGTTGTAGTATCTG